CTTATCCCCCTACCAACCCCAGAGATTACTTCGGTCCGAAGACCAAAATTTGCTTGAAGTCCCCAACATCTGTCCTCTACTAGGCAGAGAGCCTTCTCAATTGTAGCCCCTTATTTATGGAATGCCTTGCCAGGTGAAACCCGATCTATCCGAGACCTACTTGCTTTTCGGAAAGCCTGTAAAACGTATCTCTTCCAACAAGCTTTCGATGGGTGAATAACTCGGGACTATGTCTGTTCTTGTTTTTATTGTACTTTAAAGTTAATTGTATTGTTTTAATCTACTGCTGTAAACCGCTCCGAGCCAAATTGGGAGTAGTGGTATACAAGTCAAATAAATAAATAAATGGTGCATTATACTTGAGTAAATATTGGTATACCCATTTTCCCCGCAACTGGTTTTGAGCGTCATTATCTTTCATGCTCATAAAGAGATTAAGAGAGTAAAAAGTAATAGGAACATCTCTGCAAGCAAGGCTCCCCCAGTGAATCCAAAGTTTGCCTTGATAGTGGCTACAGCTCAGCTTTGTGATGCTTCTATAGCATGGACAGAATGCATCAGCCCTCTTGTTCTCTAAGCCTCTTTTACACCATGTGGATTATTTGAAAACAAGCAGGGAAAGAATGAGATTTATATAATGCAGCTTGAGCTTCCTTGGGGAAGAAGAGTGGAATGGAAAATGTAGTTTGCAGAAGGAGTTTAATATGTGGATAATTGTTAAAATTATTTTTGTCCCCTGCTGATGGTTCACTTGTTCACAATTAATTCGTTTAAGTCAAACACACTGACTTGTGTTCCCCGGTGTTATGACAGGGAACTAATAAAATAGAGTATGTGTACATAGCAGGAGGGGCAGAATGACAATGGTTTCTATTTTTTAAATTCAAACAAACTGTCGTGGTAATTAAGGACCTAATATTTACTGTAGGAAAACCTCAGTTTAATTATCATGACAGTTTGTTTAAAAGACAAACTCTATCATTTACTGCTTCTCTTCCTTGATACTAGTTCTTTGTCTGAGCACCAGGCATGTCTGACTGACAGGATTCATTATGAACTAGGAAAAGCATTAGAAAGAGTTGGAAAATGATGTATGAAATTCTCATGGTGGTCTGCGAAAAGACCTTACTGGTACATTATTTAAACTGTTATATTTATTCATATCATGATCTGATCACCATGCTCAATATATCTCATATGCATGGGGGTATTGGGGTAATGATACAAAAGGTTTGCTAGGGTAGACCCTCTTTCACTCAGACTCAGCCTCCCCCCCCCCCCCCCCGAATCAAAATCCTGGCTACGGGAATGGATTGGATTTTGTAGAATGGTAATAAGTGTTATTTTAATTAGACGTTGAATAGTCTAGTCCAGAGCTTCTCAAACTGTGTTCTTCCAGATGTTTTGGACTTTAGCTCCCACAATTTGTAACAGCTGGTAAACTGTATTGTCGAAGACTTTCATGGCCAGAATCACTGGGTTGTTGTAGGTTTTTTCGGGCTATATGGCCATGTTCTAGAGGCATTCTCTCCTGACGTTTCGCCTGCATCTATGGCAAGCATCCTCAGAGGTAGTGAGGTCTGTTGGAACTAGGAACATGGGTTTATATATCTGTGGAATGACCAGGGTGGGACAAAGGACTCTTGTCTGCTGGAGCTAGGTGTGAATGTTTCAATGTTTTTATGTTGAATGTTTTTATATTGTGTGAATGCTATTTTAAATTGTAAGCCGCTCGGAGCACCTTGGTGGAGAGCGACTAATTAAGAAATAAAGGGAAGTGAAGTGAAGTGAAGAAGTGAACTGACCACCTTGATTAGCATATAATGGCCTGACAGTGCCTAGAGCAAACTTTTGTTGAGAAGTGATTAGATGTCCTTGTTTGAAAATCAGCCATAGCAGAGCACCTGATGAACCAACCTGGACACAACATTTTATTTGAGAACACAGAAATGCTGGACCACTCTCACAACCACCATGTCAGACTACACAGAGAAGCCATTGAAATCCACAAGCATGTGGACAATTTCAACAGAAAGGAGGAGACCTTGAAAATGAACAAAATCTGGCTACCAGTATTTAAAAAACTCTAAAATTGCAACAGCACAACAACAGAGAGGAAACAAACAAGGACATCTAATCACCTCTCAACAAAAGTTTGTCTAGGCACTGTCAGGCCATTATATGCTAATCAAGGTGGTCAGTTGAAACATTCACACCTAGCTCCAGCAGACAAGAGTCCTTTGTCCCACCCTGGTCATTCCACAGATATATAAACCCTTTTTCCTAGTTCCAACAGACCTCATACCTCTGAGGATGCTTGCCATAGATGCAGGCAAAACGTCAGGAGAGAATGCCTCTAGAACATGGCCATATAGCCCGAAAAAACCTACAACAACCCAGCTGGTAAACTGGCTGGGATTCCTGGGAGTTGAAGTCCAAAACACCTGGAGGAGCAGAGTTTGAGAAACACTGGATAGTCCATTCAAGAAGAAATAAGAAATAATAACAAATCATTGATTGAGATAAGAATGGGCCAATGGGTAAAGAGTGAGAGAAATGAAAAAGTTAAGTCAAAATTTATGTGAATGCTTCCTTCATTATCAGATAAAGATGACATTAACAAATCATCTTTATATGTCTACGCACTCGATTTGTTTATATTCTTGGTATATATTTTAAGAACACTATAATGAAAATTAGGGGAAACAACCATCTCCCTTTATTCAACTACAGAGAGTCCCAGAGTTACAAACATTTGAGTTACAAACAAGGGGAGGGAGGGGGGGGATGAGACAACAGGAAGTGAGAGAAATCTGTCCTACGGAAGGGAAATTCACTCCTGGAAGAGTGGGGAAAAGGTGTCTCCGCTGAAGCTTTCTCCAATCCTTGTTTCCACAACAAGCAAATTTTTCAAAATCCAATGATCACAGGGACAAACAGTGAGCTGAAATCTTCTGTTAAATTGTCAGCCTACAATTCCTGTTTCCTTCCTTTGTGGACCGTGAGACAACATAAGATAGTTGTAGTTCTGCTTTTAAAACTAGCTTTTTGAAAGCTCTGATCAATACCTAGCCTTCCCGTAGCACTTCCAAAGGGTTCCCAGTCCTTTACATCCATTATCTTGCACTTGAGCATAATACCAACCCTATAATCAGCTTTTATTCCATGTCGTCTCCATATTCCAGACAGAGAGCTGAGACAAAAGGTCAAGGAGCAGCTGCTTTATAGCTGCTTGATGACCATCTGATAGCGGAAACTGAGACCAGAGTTGTGGATTTGACCACAGCTCTTCATGGGGAATGGACAATCTGTTGTGATGGTATGTGGGCAAGGATGCTTTCTGAAATTTCAGGATGATGGCTGAATAAGGTTTCTAGGATCAGGCAACCATACAGCCAGCCTTCCACATTTGCTGACATTAGGAACACAAGACATCCACAATACTGGAAAACTGAAAATAAAAAATATGATTTTAAAGAATAGCTATTTAGGAATCTCTAGGTCTCACAGCATGACTCCATGGAGGACTTCTGCTAGAAATTGATCATAGGATTGTACTAGAGGACCTAAAAAGACATCTGACAGAAGTTGACTCTAGAGTTGCCCTGGAGGGTCTAGGATAGCGGTTCTTAACCTGTGGGTCCCCAGATGTTTTTGGCCTTCAACTCCCAGAAATCCTAACAGCTGGTAAGTTGGCTGGGATTTTTGGGAATTGAAGGCCAAAAACATCTGGGAACCACTGTTCTAGGAGATTCCTAGAGAGAACATTTGAATAAAATTCGTGAATAATCAAATCTGCAAATATCAAACATGAGAATCATAGAATCAAAGAGTTGGAAGAGACTTCATGGGCCATCCAGTCTAACCCCCTGCCAAGAAGCAGGAATATTGCATTCAAATCACCTCGACAGATGGCCATCCAGCCTCTGTTTAAAAGCTCAAAGAAGGAGCCTCCACCACACTCCGGGGCAGAGAGTTCCACTGCTGAACGGCTCTCACAGTCAGGAAGTTCTTCCTCATGTTCAGATGGAATCTCCTCTCTTGTAGTTTGAAGCCATTGTTCCGATCCTAGTCTCCAGGGAAGCAGAAAACAGGCTTGCTCCCTCCTCCCTGTGACTTCCTCTCACATATTTATACATGGCTATCATATCTCCTCTCAGCCTTCTCTTCTTCAGGCTAAACATGCTCAGCTCCTTAAGCCGCTCCTCATAGGGCTTGTTCTCCAGACCCTTGATCATTTTAGTCGCCCTCTTCTGGACACATTCCAGCTTGTAAACATCTCTCCTAAATTGTGGTGCCCAGAATTGGATACAATATTCCAGGTGTGGTCTAACCAAGGCGGAATAGAGGGATAGCATGACTTCCCTAGATCTAGACACTATGCTCCTATTGATGCAGGCCAAAATCCCATTGGCTTTTTTTGCCGCCCCATCACATTGTTGGCTCATATTTAACTTGTTGTCCACGAGGACTCCAAGATCTTTTTCACACATACTGCTCTCAAGCCAGGCATTGTCCTCCATTCTGTATCTTTGCATTTCGTTTTTTCTGCCAAAGTGGAGTATCTTGCATTTGTCACTGTTGAACTTCATTTTGTTAGTTTTGTTAGAATGTGGAAGGCCAACTGTATTTCATTGGCCTTTCTGTAGCTCCTTGCTGAATCGCAGAAGTAGAGTAAATTATGCAGAGTAAGATATGTAAGTGTGCCAAAACTTATTCATTAATAAAATTCTGCTTCTTCCATTGGGATTTTTTTTTTGCTTTGGTATGGATTAAAGAAATAAAACTTGGTGGAAAAACAGATTAAACCGCTGAGCTGCTGACCAAAAGGTTGGCGGTTTGAATCCAGGGAGTGGGGAGAGCTTCTGCTGTTAGCCCCAGCTTCTGCCAACCTAGCAGTATAAAAACATGCAAGTGTGAGTAGATCAATAGCTACTGCATCTGAGGGAAGGTAACTGCGCTCCATGGAGTCATGCTGGCCACATGACCTTGGAGGTGTCTACGGACAATGCTGGCTCTTTGGCTTAGGAATTAAGATGAACACCACTCCCCAGAGACACACACAACTAGATTTAACATCAGGGGAAAATCTTTACCTTTACCTTAATACTGAGAACTGTGACATAAATGCCTATAAGCTAATTAACATAAAAACCAAATGTCCAGAAGTGAAAGTCTGCCCCTTTTCAGGATGTCACCCAAACATAATGTGTGTGTGTATATTAAATTAGTATTCTTCCTAGCCGTTGAATGTCAGATATCCATCTTTGGTTGCCTACTATTTTTCTGTACAGCAAACACTTCAGTTAATAAATACCATAGATGGGCATTGTGAACTCCAGGTTGTAAGGCACAGGAAACAATAGCACAGCCTCAGGCTGGCTGGTGGTGAGGCAAGCAGCCGATGATTGCAACAGAAAAGTGTTGAAGGAAGAGATCCATCTGTTTTTTAACACATTCTGTTTTTCCAGAAGAAAGGCTAATAAAGAACTCCAATGCCTTTTGTCTAATTTGCTTTTCCCAGCAGGAGGGTGATTATTACTTTAATAGCACATAGACTATAATGTAATTATTGCCAGCTATTAAATCATAGAATCATAGAATCAAAGAGTTGGAAGAGACCTCATGGGCCATCCAGTCCAACCCCCTGCCAAGAAGCAGGAATATTGCATTCAAATCACCCCTGACAGATCATAGAATCATAGAATCAAAGAGTTGGAAGAGACCTCATGGCCATCCAGTCCAACCCCCTGCCAAGAAGCAGGAATATTGCATTCAAATCACCCCTGACAGATGGCCATCCAGCCTCTGTTTAAAAGCTTCCAAAGAAGGAGCCTCCACCACACTCCGGGGCAGAGAGTTCCACTGCCGAACGGCTCTCACAGTCAGGAAGTTCTTCCTAATGTTCAGATGGAATCTCCTCTCTTGTAGTTTGAAGCCATTGTTCCGCGTCCTAGTCTCCAAGGAAGCAGAAAACAAGCTTGCTCCCTCCTCCCTGTGGCTTCCTCTCACATATTTATACATGGCTATCATATCTCCTCTCAGCCTTCTCTTCTTCAGGCTAAACATGCCCAGCTCCTTAAGCCGTTCCTCATAGGGCTTGTTCTCCAGACCCTTGATCATTTTAGTCGCCCTCTTCTGGACACATTCCAGCTTGTCAATATCTCTCTTGAATTGTGGTGCCCAGAATTGGACACAATATTCCAGGTGTGGGTTTAACCAAAGCGGAATAGAGGGGTAGCACTTCCCTAGATCTAGACACCATGATCCTATTGATGCAGGCCAAAATCCCATTGGCTTTTTTTGCCGTCACATCACATTGTTGGCTCATGTTTAACTTGTTGTCCACGAGGACTCCAAGATCTTTTTCACACGTACTGCTCTCGAGCCAGGCGTCCCCATTCTGTATCTTTGCATTTCATTTTTTCTGCCTAAGTGGAGTATCTTGCATTTGTCACTGTTGAACTTCATTTGTTAGTTTTGGCCCATCTCTCTAATCTGTCAAGATCGTTTGAATCCTGCTCCTGTCCTCTGGAGTATTGGCTATCCCTCTCAATTTGGTGTCGTCTGCAAACTTGATGATCCTGCCTTCTAGCCCTTCATCTAAGTCATTAATAAAGATGTTGAACAGGACCGGGCCCAGGACCGAACCCTGCGGCACTCCACTCGTCACTTCTTTCCAGGATGAAGAGGAAGCATTTTCTTCTTCCAAACCTACATCAAAGATTTGCTACTGGTGCACAGAAGGTGGATTTCCTTAACTGTTGCTTTGCCTTCTTCCAGGCCTTACTGAAAATGGACTGCCAGGGCTTGGTCATCAGGCTCATTCAGGATTTTGTGCTTTTGACTACTGCTGTGGAGGTGGCCCAGCGCTGGAGAGAGCTTGCAGAGAAATTGGCCAAGGTCTCCAAGCAACAGATGGATGCCTATGAAGCTCCCCATCGGGACAAGAATGGAGCTGTAGATAGCGAGGTAAGAAAGCAAATGTGTAATATATTCAGGGCTTGCTGGATGGCTGGTTCTGTACAATAGATTGTGAAAGCAGCTCATTGTTGTGTTCAGTGGCCTTTCTGATCTTGAATGATGACAAAAGCTTAGGAAGGGACGCCTCACAATTTTTGTTGTGTGGTCACCGGCCCAAAAAAATGCAGCCACATAGAAAGGAAGTACCTCCTTTCTTATAACTTATTTTCTCTTCGGTGGACTCATACAGGCTTCATTGATCACAAAAACCTATTGTGACACGTTATAGGTGTGAATATAAATGACAAATGCTTGCAGACATAAACTGCATTTCTCAACCTTGGGGAAGCTGGAGCTGATAACAGCTGACTTCTTTCTAAGTAATACTAATATATATAGATACATTACTGAAAGCACAGATATGTGGAACAGCATGCTAGTTATTACAAAAATGTGTGCATTACTTATTATCAGAATGACAGCCAGGTTTTTGGATTTGATGTGTCGGACAACATTTCCTTACCCTTGCTCTCCTGCAAGGTAGGTTTTTATAGATCAAAAACCAGTCAACCCTGAGCTCATTATGATATTTTCTTACAAGTTCTAAGCAATGCACTGATTTGTACGTTTTCCATAAAGTTTAATGCCAAGACAACCTATGTTTGGATAGCTGTGAGTATGAAGGTCTTTCACATGAGAAAAGCTAAATCAAAGGATCAAGATGCTCACGATAGGCTTCAACGTGCTAGGAGGGAAAGCAGGCAGCAAATGAATTGGGGAGATGGTCCCAAGAAAAGTGTTTTTACCCATTAACTCCAAGCACTGATATCATACGGGGAAAGGCAGGCGACATTTTGTGCCGTATTTTGAATTGGTGAAGATGGTCTCCTCTGTGTCTCCCTGGGGTAGTCAACTTGTAATTCTAGGATAATTCAAGCAGGACCTGTGCATGATAGTTTTAAACTGGTATTAGCCATTTTAATGTACTGTATATACTTGAGTATAAGCCTAGTTTTCCAGCCCCTTTTTTAGGCTGAAAATGCTCCCCTCGGCTTATACTCGAGTCAAGGTTATTTATTCTTTTACTCTGTTTTTAGTATTATTTTATTACATTTATTATTTTACTCAATTATTATTATATTTACATTATTTTGCTCTGTTATTATTCTATTTATTATTTTACCCTATTATTAATATTATTACATTTATTATTTTAATATTATTATTATTATTATTACATTTACATTATTTTACTCTATTATTACTGTTTTTATTGCATTTTCATTATTTTACTCTATTATATTTATTATTTTAATAATAAGTACATTTACATTGAAGGAGGTTAGAATAATGGTTTAATAAGATTTGGACAGTTTTATCTCAAATTACAGTTTTATATAAATATTCAGAAACATTTAGCCTATTGATGCCTCAATTAATGTAATTTTATTGGTATATATTTTTATTTTGAAATTGACCCATAGTGGATGCATTTCCCACCGTCGGCTTATACTCGAATTAATACGTTTTCCCAGTTTTTTGTGATAAAATTAGGTGCCTCGGCTTATATTTGAGTCGGCTTATACTTGAGTATATACGGTAATTGTATCCTAATTGCTTTAGGGTATATGTTGTAATGTTTTTCTCATGTTTTAGTTTACCATGTCTTATTGGATTGTTTTTTTTTTATTTTCATCTTGATGCCTAATTCTTTGTTGTAAGTTTACTGTTGTTACTGTGCATTATCTTGTATTATTTTGATGTGTTTGTATTCATTAGAGGCACTGAATGTTTGCCTTTTTGTTTTGTGAACTGCCCTCAGTCCCTTCGGGGAGAGAGGGCAGTCAAGAAATAAATTATTATTATTATTATTATTATTATTATTATTATTATTATTACACAAGATGAGTCCACAGCAGACACTCTGCTGACTGTTGTATTGGATCACATGTCAGACACTTCTCAAGTGTCTAGGACTGTGTGATGTATCAGCGAATAATGCGTGCAAATCCCAGTAAGATGACCTTCTGTAGCTGGCAAATGGTAATTTTGTCAGTGCCGATTGTGTTTAAGTGCAGGCCAAGGTCTTTAGGCACTGCACCCAGTGTGCCAGTCACCACTGGGATCACCTTGACTGGCTTGTGCCAGAGTCTTTGCAATTCGATCTTTAAATCCTCATATTAGGGACCGCCTCTCCTTCTCCCATCATCGGAGGTCGCAACGACCAGCCGGGTCCTAGAGAAGTGCACTTGGAAAGGACCAGACGCAGGGCTTTTTCTATTTCTGCCCCTGCCTTATGGAATTCCTTGCCCATCTACATGAGAGCCATGCGTSACTTAGGCCCTTTTACTCTTGCACTTAAGACCTYGCTTTTTACTAGAGCATTCGATCTCTGTTAATTTTTAATTTTTGTATGTATGCATTTTATCTTTTACAATTTAGCTGTAAATCGCCTAGAGCATTCTCGGATGGAGGGCGATTAATAAGTAATTAAATCATGATGATGATGATGATGATGATGATGATGATGATGATGATATTGTGTCAGCTTTTCCAGTTGTTTCTCTTTAATCCTGCTGTCACCTGGGATTACAACATCGACAATCCACACTTTATTTTTTAACACGATTGTGAGGTCAGGAGTATTGTGCTCCAAAACTCTGTTGTTGTTGTTGTTGTTAAACTACAGTTTGTCACTTGCAACCATGCAGGTGAATACGATACAGAGTTTGAAAAGTGACATTAAAAATAATGCATTGCCGTTACATGTTAAAAGGTAATTCATAATAATTCCTCATTGCCATGTCGCAAACTTAACATGTTGCAGTATTATTGCATTGTTTATTAACCCTGAGTTGCTTTTTGTTATCTTTTTTGAGTAGTGAAAAATGTAAGATAGATAAGAGAATGGAATAACATGCAAAATTCATCTCAGTTCTAATGTTTTCTTTTATTAAGTAACATTGACTGGAAGATGGCTGTAAAGTCAACTCTCCTCATTTGCTGAAGTTAGGCATGCAGGACCCCTGAAGAAGTGGAAAAACATCAAACTAAAAAAAAATACACACGTGATTTTTAAACCTAATACAACTCTCTAGGAATCTCTAGGTTGTCCAGTGCAACATATGCCATAAATTGACCCTAGTATTGCACTGGAAGACATGGAGAGATCATTTAATTAAATTTGTGAATGATCAGATCTCCACAAGTGAAACCTACAGATGTGGAGGGCCAGCTGTATTCATGTATAAATATGTGAGAGGAAGCCCCAGGGAGGAGGGAGCAAGCTTGTTTTCTGCTTCCTTGGAGACTAGGACGCGGAACAATGGCTTCAAACTACAAGAGAGGAGATTCCATCTGAACACGAGGAAGAACTCCCTGACTGTGAGAGCCATTCAGCAGTGGAACTCTCTGGCCCGGAGTGTGGTGGAGGCTCCTTCTTTGGAAGCTTTTAAACAGAGGTTGGATGGCCATCTGTCAGGGGTGATTTGAATGCAATATTCCTGCTTCTTGGCAGGGGGTTGGACTGGATGGCCCATGAGGTCTCTTCCAACTCTTTGATTCTATGATTCGATGATTCTATGTTGTAAGCTGCATTGGGTCCCACCGTGGGAGAAAGCAAGGATTTTAAATAAATATTTATTTTATTTATTATTATTTGCAGCATTTATATTCCGCCCTTCTCACCCCGCAGGGACTTAGGGCGGATTACAGTGTACACATATATGGCAAGCATTCAATGCCAATTTTGACATACAACATATACAGACATAGACAGAGGTATTAACTTTTTCTGGCCGCCAGGGGAGCTGACACTTTCATCGTCCATCTGTGATGCTGATGAAGTACTTCCACATTCCCCGCATGCTTTTTGTTGGAGTGCTTGCTGGAGTCTTTTTTTATGGCCTCATAAATTAGTTAATTTAGCCTCCCCACACTTTAAGGTGGTACCTTATTTTCCTACTTGACAGATGCAACTGTCTTTCGGGTTGCAAAGGTCGACAACAGGCTACACAATGGTTGGAAACCCACTCCAACCCAGGCTGGCTTCGAACTCATGACCTTTGGTCAGAGTGATCTTAATGCAGCTGACACTCATCCAGCTGCGCCACAATCCCGGTGCATTTATTACTTTTTACATTGGTAAAGTGATTTGTGTTGCTTCTTATAACATCATCTTTGAAATACAGTTTTCCTAATCCTTCACAAAGCACCCCATAACTTTTTGCAGGTAACTGTTTTACTTTTGACTTCCATACTCTGGTAAGACATAAATTCTCATGCTTGCAGCTTTTGTTAATGCCACTTTCTTGCCTTGGACAGGCCATGTGGAAACCAGCATATGACTTCATGCTAACATGGAGCAATCAGATGGGAGACAGTTATCGTGATGTTACCCAAGAACTCCATATTGGTCTTGATAAGATGAAGAGTCCTATCACAAAACGCTGGAAGCATCTCACAGGAACCCTAATTTTGGTGAATTGCTTGGATATACTACGGGCCGCTGCCTTCAGTCCACGAGAAGAACATGATGATTACGCCATCTGATTATGGGGATAACTTCCTCAGAACTCGTTCCTGTTTGTTTTTATGCTTTTAATTAATTGTGGGAGAAAGGGAGAGCAGTTCTGGCATGCCAAAGTTTTGAGCAATGATTCTTTGGGCCACGAGCGCAAACTCCTTATGCTTGCCTCTCTTTTACACAGATGACACCCGAGACAGTATTCTGTGCACAGTGTGGTTGACAGCTTTTCTTAATTTGTGACATTTAAAGTTGAACTTTTTAAAGGCGACGTTGGACTGGAAAGATGAAATCACTTTAAGGGAAAAGTTCCTCTTTCGATGTAACATAACAATTGTTTTTGTTCCTCTAATCACTTTGAATCATCAGTATGTATTAAAATGAAGCACAGTCTGACATCTCCTTACAAGGATTTGGATTTGTAATACGTTACTCAGAACTGTTTATCTGTAAACTCTCCTGCCCCTTGTGATCCTATCAGTGTTAGTAACTACTGGGTTTTTTGCCACAATTTACTTTTATGGATACAGTTTTTGTAAGGGAGGAAAATGCACACTTTTTTCAACTAGCTTACTTTTATAATCAGAATTTAGCACAAGATGTTACACCAGTGGGGAAAAAAAGGTGTGCTTCAAACCCATCTGTTTCAGATTCAGAAAAAAGAAAGTCTAAAGTTATAGGACTTCCCCATCTTCCCCCATATTTAAAAGAAATGCATTTCACTGTGTGCCATTATGTGGCAAAACATTTCATTTCACTTAACATTTCAGTTCATATCAGCAGTTCTTTGGTCATATTCAGTGGTCTACATTTTACGGATACGAGGGGTATTTTTTAAGTAAGGTCCGTTTTGTTGTAGACACTAGTTCGCGCGCATACCGCAACGAGCGCGTGCGTCGTGTACCGGCATGCCTCGGGAACAACTGTGCTCAGTTTCCACTCTGTAGCTAACCTGTACAGTTCTGTTCTGTGCTTTAAAAATGTTTAAGACTATCAACTCACCCGCCGCATGTGAGGTTCGCTCAGTGATACGGTTTTTGTCAGCAAGGAACCTGCCTGCTGCAGAAATTCATCGGCGGAGGGTGAGTTGATAGTCTTAAACATTTCTAAAGCACAGAACAGAACCGTACAGGTTAGCTACAGAGCGGAAACTGAGCACAGTTGTTCCCGAAGCATGCCAGTACACGACGCACGCGCTCATTGCGGTATGCGCACATACTACTAGTGTCTACCACAAAACGGACCTTACTTTAAAAATACTCCTCGTATATTTTAAAATATGGCAAGTGGGTGTTTCATGGATGGTTCTCAATCGTACCATCATTAAGCAGATGTTGGCTTCATTGAGGCAGTCAGCCAATGCCTGATCTGTATCTTTTCAAGCTCTATGTGGACAGCTCACAAGAGTGAATGCTAACTTCTCAATTTTTTAAAGGCAGGAACAGAAGGACTATGAAGGAAAATTTGCCATCTTATGAATCCTGATTATATCTTGAAGTATTTGCAGCCTAGATTTACTACCTGGGCAAGGTCTAGCTCTTCTTGATCTGGAATCTATGTGGAATCCACGATCAATTAGAAATTCTTCATTTGGCATGTCCTCCAAACATACGAATCATTGGCATTCAAGGATAGTGTTTGTCAAATAATGTCATGGGAAACTGAGAGTTGAAGTAGCTTCATGTTCATGATAAGAGCTATCAAAAGTAAGTCTAGTTCTACTTTCACATGAAAGTTTCGTGAAACCCCTTCTGTCTACCTCTGGAAGATATTTCATGTCGGAAAGTTTGTTAGGGAGGATGATTATATGGGTGGGTGTTTGCTTTTTGCACAAAAATACATTTTCATTTAAAAAACACATAATATAATGAGGTGCTTTTCAAATACTGTATACTAAAGGGTTTCTCTTTTTCTGATCAAGATTTCCAGAGAACCGTAAGACCTTGTAGTGTGGCTAGTATAGGTAAAATTTTAAATCTGGGTTTACTCACATGAAGGAGATGTTCCTGCTTTGCTCATCCATACAAGGTGACCTTTCAAACAACGTTGGGTTATACAACACAGTTTTTCTACTAGCAGTTCTGGAATTTTATGAAAGCAAAATCTATCTCATTGGAAGAGCATTTCTATTGCATTCAAATTTAATGGGACCTTGGGGGTGGGGATGGGGGAGCACTTGTTATAATATTTCTCTTTCGCATCAGCTCTTTTTGTGTGGTCCCTCAGTTCACATTGTCAGTTCTATTATGTTGAAAGCACCTTAATTTTAAGATTTTGTTACAAGAGTTAGGGAGTAGACTTCCTATGCAAGTTTTCATAGCACAGATTTGAACTTGTTAGGTTATATAGTCTTTTCACATGCACATGGGATATTTATTTTTCCAGAGTATGTTTGTTCTCTCTCACCTACAGAATCAAGTACTGCACCAGATCTTGTGTAAGAGCATTGGAGGTAGGGAACTTTATCTGTTTTGTGCAACAGATAAAAGTATAATGCAGGTTATTGATTCAGAACAATAGCAGATTCTAGCTGTCGAAGATTCTCTTTCCCTGTGGTATGGTCAGTACCAAAAGCAAGGCATGCCCAGGTTCTCTTTGTCTATCTCTTTCTCTGTCACTGTTTATAAACTACAACAGGAGGAGGGTGTATTATATGTGGTATAATATGTAATACGCTCCTTTGGAGACACATGAAGTGATGGTGGGTCATATGCACATGGATGTGGATGTTCTCACTGTGTTGTAGGCAAATACTGAGCTGTTGACGTCACAAAGAAGGAGATACGTATCCAAGTTAGCCGCTTTCTGCACACGGATCTGTGCCAGTCGTGCTCCCCCTGCTGGCACTATGAGCTTGGCACAGGAATTTTGGATGGTATGGATTAAACCATAGAATTAGTTGTTACTTTTTATTGTGAGGGCCAAGATTTGAGCCAAAGCAATGAGATTTTAATTAGTTTTATAAGCAGAATTTTTACAGCTAGATGTTGGAGAAGACTTCCTCTCCTGAAACTAGACCAGGTCTTCCATAACAGATTGGGGAGCGGGGAATGAATTGGTTTGCCTTGTTGTTCTGCCAGTTTTGTCAAACTACCTCAGGTCTTGCATGCCTTCTCATGTTTTGACTTAAAGCCTAGAAGCCTCCCTAGATGATTGCCACCAGACCGCCACCATCACAGAATCACACAAACGGCTTTTCTAGATTAGTCAATGCAATTGCTGCATGATCTCCCCAGCCTTGCTTTGAGTAAAATATCACCTCCCAGCACATAGTTGGAGTGCTTTTTATGTTCCGCCAAATGCCTTTCACTCAAAGTATGATCTTACAAGGTAAGCTTGCTTTGGATTTTACATTAATAAACTGTACAAGTAGTCTGTTGTACATTTTTTTAAAACAATACTTATGAAAATTATACAATTAAAGCAGATATTTGAACACACCTTTGTTTGACCTGATTTATATTGTGAGAGCTTGGCTTGATTTTTTTCTTATGATTTTAAAACAAAACTCATCTGCACACTTTTGCTACACCACTGGATTGGACATAGATTTTGTTCTTGTGATGACTGAAATTTTAAAATATTGTGAAAATATGATATCATCTGGGACTAGGCTTTGACTCTATCAGGATTAACAGGATTGTAGTGATGCACACAACATGTTTCAGTTTTCCCTGTCTTCAAGACAATTTGTGATATTTTGCTGCATAATACATGAGAGCAAACTTCGCTGCCACTCCAAAATCAAGATGAATAGCATCTGTTCTGTTGCGCGCTGGGCTTGAAATGAATTGCTTTTAAAACAGGACGTATAACTTTAGCCCAGCAGGAAGCCAGGGGGCCCGAAGAGAAATTCATAAGGATTTTCACCATAAACAGTCTATAAGAGAGCTTGTGAAATATAACAAAGTCTTTATTGGTGAACAATCAACAGAAACTTCCTTTGTCTTCAAAGGGTTAAACAAATGCTTCCAGGCTTTTGTGCAACTGGTGGCTTCTAACTGTTACTTTTACTCTAAAGGAAAAGCCCTTTCCAAACTTCTCCCAGGCTAATTGTGAACCTAAACCTAACTGATGTGGATCCACTCCCAGGCTGAACTGCGTCTCAAAACCGAGTGGACCTACCAGCAGGCCTGTAGTCACTTAGCTGGAGATCTTGATATTTAAAGCTGTTATTCCCTCCGAAATTCCTCAGGGCTGTAAGGCTGTTTCCCTGGGAACCTTTGGGAATCTTTAGATGCTCTTAAGACTGTTCTCCTGTACATTGACTTCCTTTGCTGAGACTGACTGAAAATGGCTCCCTTCCTTTCTCAATTGCCCTGAACAGGGGGCGGAACCAAACTTAACGATGATGGACAGGGGACCTGCCCTATAACTGCAAACTTTAACAGGAAGCCACCCTTCTGCAGAATCCCAAGCCTTGGGCTGCAAGCAAACACTTAATACAAGGCAAATAAAGTGGGAACTTCTGGTACAGCTGTACCAGCACAGCATCTTAGGCCAAATTGGTTCTTTTGACACCTATGGCTGAAAATCTCTCTTCTATGATGGAAGGAAAAATACAATATCACAGATTAAGTAACATTTGCTGCAACAATCTCCAATTTAAATAACATCTTCTGCCTGGGGCAGTGTCCTCCCTATGCCTAATGGTAGGTCTGGCCCTGTTGGAGTACAGGTTAAACAGAGGGCCAGGTCACATCCGGCCCTCAAACTGTTGGAGGGCTGGATTATAATTAGAAAAAAAAATGAACAAATTCCTATGCACACTGAACATATCTTATTTGTAGTGCAAAAACACTCAGTACAGTAATTAAAATGAACAATTTTAACAAATATAAACTTATTTGTATTTTAATGGGAAGTGTGGGCCTGCTTTTGGCTGATGAGATAGGATTGTTGTTGCATTCTTTCAAGACTTAGGTTGACCCTGAGCGAGGACCAGGTAAACGACCTTGGAGGGCCATATGCGGCCCTCGGGCCTTAGTTTGAGGACCCCTGGATTAGAGGCAGCACTGAGGCTCATAAATCACATGCAGTTTTACCATCAACCCTTTTAGTGAAAGATAAAGGTAAAGGTTTTCCCCTGACATTAAATCCAGTCGTGTCTGACTCTGGAGGGTGGTGCTCATCTCCATTCTAAGCCAAAGAGCTGGCGTTGTCCATGGACACCTCCAAGGTCATGTGGCCAGCATGACTGCATGGAACACCCTTACCTTCCCGCCGGAATGGTACCTATTGGTCTCCTCACATTTGCATGTTTTCAAACTGCTAGGTTGGCAGAAGCTGGGGCTGATCACAGAAACTCACGCCGCTCCCCGGATTTGAACCTGTGACCTTTCAGTCAACAAGTTTAGCAGCTAAGCGGTTCAACCCACTGCACCAACGGGGGCTCC